TATAGAAAATCGGTTTATAATGGGCACAAAAGTGCAGCCGATGCACACATAAGAAATTTAAATGAGAATGGAAAGCAGAAACAAATTGCGGCAGGTGTGACAATTGTATGTCGGGGCTCCAGGCATTGGCTCACCGGTCTCTATGCTATGGATTCGCAAGTGACCGACCAAGCCAATGTGTGATGCGCATGTGAGGTGGCAATTTGGGTAGGCTAGTTAAGGCGCCGCTGAGTCGACGGTGGCGGGGAATTTGTTGTTACTAGTGGACGCGACGACTATGAACTGAGGATGGGATTGCTCATGGGTGTGCAAGACGTGTTAGGTGTGTCGATATTGCGGTGGATTTCGTTGTCATGGCTACGCATATGACCAATTGGGCCCATGCAATGAGCAAGTGAGTCATGCAACCATTCATACAGCCTCCAAGCGGTTGATAATACATGCAGTTTCTGATTGACTTTGTGTCGAGCTTGCATCCTTTCCAATCTTATGGATAACGTTCCTTTCGCTGGATATTTACGATTGCTGATGTCCATATCGCCATTCTCGGTGCCCATTTTATATCCTTTTTCAAATCTTCCCGTTGATATCACGCCTCAGAAACGAATGGATCCGATTGCATATTTGTGTTTTAAATATTCAACTCATATAAGTTAATCCACAAGTCCATGGGCCACCCCTCTGCATATGGTTTGCAAAAGTCTCTCACTGACTGGCACTCATGCGATGATTTCTGAAGACTAAACGATTATATTTTCCCGATAAATATATTTTCCCAACCTCCATGATTTTTTATCTAGCCTAGCCGGGGCTAAAAACCTTTCTCCAGTATTTACTTTCCATAAAATCTCCGTGTTATACCTATACTCACTGTGTGTGTGTTAGCCTGCCTGGTGGCCGCTGATTGGTTCCGGCCTTTTTACTACTTACTTTGTAGACCAAAGACAGCTTGTCTTTTCGGTTGATTGCAAGTTGATGCTCGCGCAATTTTGTACCCAAGCGCTTGTCTGTTTCACCAACATACCTGGCATCGCAATTTTTGCACGGTATGCTGTAAAACCACTGCTGATTGTTCGGTCATTGGCAGCGAGTCTTTGGCCTGCATGACTTGCTGCCTGCTTGTAGATTCAGGTCAATGAGCCACTCCGCTCCCAAAAGGTTTTAGGATTCGCACCGTCGCCTCTGAAACCTTTTTCACGTAAGAGATTGCGAGCTAGAATTTTTGTTTTTTTTCACTCGACCGCTGAAAATGAGGCTTGCTGAGTCATTTGTGGATAAACGACTTCGGATAAGCGTTGGCTTTGAAGAGGGCATGCAAATAATTCATCTCCTCTTGCTTCCCACTTTCGTCGCTACAATGTGTTTAAACATGTCGGAAGAGGGTTCTGAAACCGACTTATGCCAACGGACGATGGTAGATTTCACAAGGAAAATGCTCACGACTGCCACGACCGCACCCACAGATACCGACGAAAAATTGAACAACACTCCGCAAAGTGTTGGTCTATCCTTGCGGCGCAGGAGCTGGAAAACCTCGAGGCGGCGATCCTAGACAATGCACGACGTCACCGCAAGTTACGTGATGACCAATTGTCTGTCAATTTCGAGAAAATCAACCCGCCAAAGCAACTCTCTTCTGACGAGGTCCTGGTTCACAACTTGTCATCCTATCCTCTTACTCAGCAACAACTAACGGTTCTGTCCTATGATGCAAAATTCAGCAAGATAGACGCTCGACCCGAAGACTTTGTGGCATCCTTCGAATCGGTGCCTCAGAAATGCGAGGCGAATGTGCGATGCGAAACGCCATGCGGCAACGAGTGACAAAGGGTGCCAATTTTGCTCCTTCAGCACAAACAATAAATGACAATTACTAAAGCCGAAGAACGAGAACTTATGAGAATACCAAAAATGGAGGATATCGTCACCCTGCCTGTCGGCAGCGAACGCTCGACGGTCGTAGTCTTACTCTTCGGAAGATGATGCACGTGATAAAGAAAACTTAAAACGCAAGCCGTGTTCTGTTTGTCTAGAAATAGTAAACACTAACGTCTACTAATTTGTTGCAAGTAGTAGCAACACGTTAACATTTGTGTAAAATTAATCATATTTAATCGGTTAAATTGTGTGTGGGGAGGGTGCTGAATAAATCCACACGTTAGGGCAACAAACGTCAGTGAGCACAGTGTTTCGCGCTGCAAGCGCCGTTACTAAAGAGGAACTTGTGTACCTGGATCCTAGCTTCCCCCATGCGTGAGTTTAAGGGATGAAAACGCAAAATAATAATTGCCATATGACCCTGTAATCGTCGGATCCTGAATAGACAGGCAGATTCATCTTCCCAAAGATTCTTGCATGCCCGGTCTCATTTTTAGTCATAGTGAAAATTGGAACTTGCTAATTACACAAAAAAGATACAGTAGCCGCCGAAGACCATGCAACGCTAATTATGAAATTTGCCTGGA